ACTCAAAAGTGCAAAACAGCATTAGGAAAAATAAAATCTTTAAATAAACTACAGGAATCAATTTCACTGTAGGAAACTTGTGGTGGTTGGGGCATCTCAATTCCCATCCAGGAATCTTGATCATAGAATCCTGCCATTACCGTTAAAAGGTAATCTTCGAGTCTCTATGGACAGCCGTACAAGCTGGACATTTGTAAACATGTGCGGAATGTCATTTTTCCTTTAGGGGACATTGACATGAACTGATCTTGTCAGCATAGCAATAATGTAAGATTATTGTCATTGTTTTTGGTCGGTAGGCGTAAACATCTACCATAAGCGTTTTCACCGAGCCATTTAACGTATGCATATTGTGATTACATGATGTAATTTCAGGTAATTGAAAAATTCCAATAGGTTTCACCTTTGTACAATCATATACTTCACCTATAAATAATTTTGTGGTAAATGGAGGTCAGATGAGTAAGCATGAGAGAATAATGGGAATCACTATATTCTATAATCTATTTATATGGAAAATTAGTAAAAGTCTATTTCTAGTCAGCTTTTTATCTTGTTGTCTACTCAGAACTACCATTGATATTGCGGAAACATGCAAGCTTCTTTTTATCTTCTCTAAATATTTTTGTACAACTTGTTTATCGAAGATGTTTTCCTCTGGTTCCCACGTATTTTGAGTCGAAGGAAAGTCCTTCCATTTAAGTAGATATTGAGTTTTACCTTTCCTTTACCTTTTTCCTACTATTTCTTTCATTTTAAATATATCTGCATTGACGGTCTCATTTTCCTGCAAACTTTGTTGTATCTAATCTGTTTTATATAGACGGCACTCAGGGACTGTAGAATATTTGCATTTGTAGCCTAAAATTACTGGATGGGTTAAGTTTTTAGCAATAAGCATTTCATGCTCAAATATATAACTTCCAATATTGATGGGGCATACAATTTTTCCAAAGACATGGAGTGGCGCTCCATTTGCTATTTCTCAAAGTACCATAGTAGGGATGTGGTTTGTCAACTTGATTTCTAATATTTTTAAAAATGGTTTCATCCAATATACTGCATCTAGCACCTGTGTCCATAAGAATATCAACTTTAGATTTGTATACTCTACCCCAGATTTCGCAACCAGGGTTCTTTTTCGGATACAATTCCAGTGTGTTGGTGTGTTGCTGCAGAATTCGGCTATCCAAATGCGGACTGTTTCTTGGGTCATCATTTCAAAATTGTCCATTTGGGAAAGAATTATTGCAAAATGAAGTCGAGTTTTGTGTGTCATGGTTCCAGCAGTTAAGTTGCAGCAATGTATGTTGATAGTGATTTCTCCCTGATAATGGGATGGTTTGGTCAGAGCACGACCTTTGGGTGTGTCCTACTTTTAGGCATCGGTTACATATAACTTGCCCATCACTAGTACGTAAGTTGTGTCCTGTTAGAGGAAATCTCTTGTGCTGGGTAAAACGACTATTGTTTTGCCTTAATGAGTCTATTTCTAATTGTAATTCACTGATACGCTGATTTACGTTTGGGTGCTTGCGATAGGTAGAAGCCACAATTGTTTGTTTTGAAGAACTAAGAAGTGCATCTAGCTTCACTTCCAATCGAGAGATGCTTGAATCTAACACAATTGTGTCTTGCAATTTAGCAAACGCCACTGCTTCTTGATAATTGACAGGTTGCTTAAGTTTTAATGCATCACGTAGATTGGGTTTCAAACCTTTGATAAACAGATTTAGTTTTGTTTCGCTATCTATACCGAGCTGCTGACTAAGTTTATCTAGGGTGTTAATATAGGAGGTAAGGTCAGCATCTTGCGTTAGATCAAATAATTCCATCTTTCGATTCCATGCGATACTTGCATTGTCGTAATATTGTCTTAATTGTTCTTGAAGCTGGTGAAAATAATTCTTAATGTAAGCAGGAAGGGTTTTGTAAAACACTAAAGCACTACCTTCTAAATATAATGGAAATGCAATTAATTTCCTCATGTCTGTCCATTGGTTATGGAGCGCTATGTGACAAAAACTGGTTAGCCATTCGCTGATATCTTCTGTTTCCGTACCTTTGAAAGGTTTAGGTTACATCTCTTGTATAGGTTTTGTTGCCAAGCGTTCTAGAACTTGTTCCAGAGACATATTTATACTTTTCTTTGGAAGGGGCTGTTGTTTTGTTTAAATAGATTCGTATCAGACAGTTCTAATGAGTCGACAGAATCGTCGGAGGAGTCGTTGAGAGAGGTTGGAGAATTATTGGCTGCTTTTGAACAATGAGTTGGTTCAGTAACTGGACATATTTTTCCAGAGCGTAGGTGGCTCATAAGTAGTCAGCAATAATAGTTTCGGTTTTGTGAGTAATTAAACATAGGTCAAAATAACAAATGATAAAAATAAATATATAAATCACTTCTTATGCAATTGAATTAATCGGTCAAGCAGAGACGAAATCTACTTGTATCCGGGCAGTGCCTCCAAAATGTAACGTGGTAAGTAAAAGACAATTAAATCGCTAAACGTTACGTAGTAATTATATTTCGAAAGTTTATATAAAAAAATTATATAATCATATCCAAATGTTCATATATCTCTTTATCCATATATCTCCCTCTACTTTAACTATTCATATAACTCCTCTCTTTTTCTCTCTTCTTTATTTATCCATATATCTCTACCCATACGTCCGGTCTTCTTCCTGTTTATATATCATAAACAGACACTAGACGCATCTATGGTTACTAAACAGGTTAGTTTACCAACAGCGTTTCTGCCAAACATTACACGCTTCGTTAAACTTCGTGTTCCGCCTGAGTGGTTTTGTTTGAGACCTTCATAACAAGAGTGATGTTGAAGTTTAAAAATTTATAATGATCTTTCAAATTTTAGTTGCATCTAGTTTTTGGGGAAAATGATTGATTGACACAAGTTGACTGACGTCATATAATTTGGGTCCCTCAATAAAAGCCTTAAAAATCTTAGCAACAGAACTAAATGAAAAAAACTTACTTAAACAAGAGATAAAAGTAATGCGCTTTAGGGAGCTACAAACCACTAGGCTGCTACAAACCTCTGGGTTGCTACAGACTACTGGGTTGCTACAGACTACTAGGTTGCTACAAACCACTAGGTTGCTACAAACCACTAGGTTGCAACAAACCACTAGGTTGCAACAAGAATTTAAAACTAAATTTATGTATTGCCTAATGCTACATACTAATACTACACTACTGTAATACTAATACTACATACTAATACTACTACTATAATACTACAGCAAAACTTAAGGCAAACAGTTAGCAAAAGCTAGATTTAAAATTTCTATAAAATATGAAGATTATGAAAAAACCAGATCACTCCACAAAAAGTTGTTAACACAACTTTTAACTTAATACCTGATAAGAAAAAAGTTTTCACTTAAGACATAATATGTATAAATATTTATATGCAATTTAATTTATAGTTACTAATATATTTTTAAAATGTTAGCAAGCACTTGTATTTCAAGATATAATTACAAATTTATTAAAATTTTGTATTTGTTTTACAAGCTGTGCAGAAAAGGTAACAAACTTATTTCATCATTAGTTGTGATTCAAAAAGAATTTATGAAGAATTTATAAAAGAGTTTGTTGAAAGCAAAAATTTATAGAAAAATATATTTCATTGTCAAAAAAGTATTAACTCTAAAAAAAACATTTTTTAAAAAATTAATCTTCATAAAAAGTAATCAACCATTCATTCTATTTGGTAATTTTTCATTACAAAACTTGTGTTAGTTAAATTTAGTTAAAACTACTTATGTGTATCTATACAAAAGAGTGGTAAAAAATTTATTTTACCTTCATAACATCTTCAAGTTTATATGGTAATTTACATATATTCTCCTGGAACACATGCCAATTCCTAAAAAATCAAAGTTATTTTAAAACCTAGTTTTAATTATAAAAAAAAAATTATACAAAAAATATACAACATTCTTCTAGTGTTATATGATATCACATTTGTTAGATATAGCAATTAACCTTATATATATATATATATTTATACAGACTGTGAAACTGTTCACGAAATGTCTCTGAACATTTCACGAACTCAAGCAGCTAAAAAACTCTTTCTACTATTGTTAATGCTCTCATTTTATTGTAATCTTATTCTGGATTAAGGCTGATACAAGGGTGGATCTAAGGAGTATCTTGATTAGGCAAAGGTTCACTAATAATATTTAAACAATTTAAAAATAAAACCTAATAAATGATAATTTGAAATAAATTTAAATTATTGTATATAAATTTGTACACAAGATCTTTAAAAAATATAAAGCCTTCAAGAAAATTATCTACAGCTTTAATAAAGTTTGGAGGAATTTAAGCATTTTTTACAATGCATTTTTTGACCTTGTCTAAAAGAGAGAGGACCACATTGGAAGAACCAGCCCAAATTTGGCTGCAATATCCTATACAAGGATAAACAAGAGATTTCTAATATGTTCAAAGTAGAAAATAGAATAAGGAGTGAGAAAAATACATTGTTTTGATAATGTTAACAAAGGGAGTGAGAAGGAGTAAGAAGTGAAAGATTCTTTGGTCTGCAACAGTAAACCAAGTTCATCAAAAAATTTAGCAAGCTCGATCATTGATTGAAATTGGTTTGTGTTGTTGTTCAGTATTCCCAACATTGCTATTTATTATTTATCATTGGTAATTTATTATTTTTCAGGAATTCCTTACACTTCAAGGGAATAAGATCCTTTAGGAGCTGAATGGTACTTTATTCCTGTAAGCAAATTAAATTTAGTTTGGGTGTCCTTTGGGAGTCATTAGAGATCTAAATCACCATATGAATTTAGCATTTAGAAAAGAAAAAGAAAAGCCTTCTATTCTATTATATTTCTACTAACTATAAGCACCATAGACATTTAAAATATAATTTCCTATTATTAGATCTAATTTACAAAGTATTTATTCTTGGGTCCTCTTTTTCTGTGTCTCGTGAGAAAAAGTAATTTTAAAAAAGAAATTTAGAAGCATTTTTACAAAAATGGCTATTTGCATATTCCTAGTTAGCTTACTCATAGATTGAAGACGGAGCATATTATCTTTTGTGTACACTATTTGAAATATTGCTTCCAAATTGATCTTTGCTTCAACAATTAACTTGCTTTAACCTTCTGAGTCCTCTACTTTACATCTCCTTGGATTATCATTCATTACTGACCTCTCATGGAAACCATATATATATAATATACATGTATACAACCCATTGCAAAGTTAACATCTAAGGTTGCTTCTCTTTACGTCATGCTTGTCATTTCCATACTCCTGATTATATTCTTTACATCTACAAACCTCTTAATTGTCCCTGAAATATATTTTCTTAATGATGCCCTTACTCTTTTAGACAAGGTCCAAAAATGTATTTTAAATGCAGTTGGACCTAACTGCCCAGCTTAAGCTTCTATCCTATTGTCATAAGGTTGCATCTCTTTCTTTTTTACTATTATGGTCGCTGCTCAAATGAACTATTATTTCTTGTTCCATCAACCAAAACTCATTCTCATGTTACTCATCATTCAGTAAAGTTCCAGTAACTGCATATAAATACGAGCATAACATTTGTTTAAATGCAGGTTAAAGTTTACACACAATGCCACATAGTAAGATTTAATATATAAGCTATATTGTCTAAAACAAAAAAGTAAGTGAGTAAGTGGCTGAGCAAAGGCCTCAGTCACTTACTGCTTTTACTTAATATTAATTTTCAAAAAAAAAAAAAAAATTTGAAAAAACTATAAAAGATGCGTGTATAACTGCCACAAAAATATAGAAAAGAATCTAGATATGGAGAACAAACCATTAATTAAAATTAAAAATACTGTACATAAACTACCTATAAAAAAAAATTCATAAGGAGCTAACTACTCTACTTTTTTCTTTTCTTGATCTGCCTGTCAAGAAAACAAAAGAATCTAGATATAAATGGTTAAACTTAAGTGACATAACAGTATGCAAGTGGAGTGTTAAGACCTATATTCAACTCATTAATGCACTTCCTTTAGTGAGTTAAACAGATTTAAATGTCCAGAATTAACAGAAACATAACAACATTCTAAAATACAAATACCTAAACAGAAAATAACAACATTCATAATACTTTTATCATAAATAGGTAATAAAAAACAATAATAAGTAAGTAATAATAAGGCAAAAATATAGCAATGACACTAATTTACATTTCATAGACAACACTTTTGCCTTACTAGCTAGTGGAGGCTACATTAACTACAACCAATATTTGGAGGTTACGTTAAAAAATAAGCATTATCCATAAAAACTCCCATATCCACCCCTGAAGCAATTATACTATTCATTCTACCGTCTGATAATGTCCTGATCATGTCAATCATACTGAAATATTATAAAGAAAATCATTGGCATGTAGCTGTGTTTTATGCTTATCTTATTTAAAATTTAGGCATAAGATTGAAACATTTGAAACAATTAAACTGTAAATTTAAATGATGAGTATAAATTAAATGGTAAGTATAAAATAATCAAATGGTAAGTATTAACTGAGTGGTTAGGGTTAGGGTTATACCAGGTTAATACCAGGGTTGGCAAAAAAATCCAACCCAAAAAACCCAACCCAAAAAAACCCACCTTAAAAAAACCCAAAAAAACCCAAAATATATTTGGGTTTTTTTAAAAATGTCCTATTTTACAACTGATAACTCTGATTTTAACACTTATAAATGCTTTATTATCAGCAAGTGCAACTTTTATGCTGTAATTACTCTTGTAAATACTGTATGTAAACACTTTATTTATATACATAATGGTATTTAGAATATATCCAAAACCGATCAATCTGTTTTTGTAGCAAGTTGAATATCTATTATTTTTTTAAAACATATAGCAAGTTGTTATAAATGATATTCAAATATGTATTAAAACATTAAATTAGTTAAATACATATAAAGGAAATAAAAATCATTCTATTAACTAAATTTCAAGACATTACTAGTTACTTAGTTTCTTTATTCTCCTCTCGAATGTCTATATTTCCAAACAAGCATTTTATATTGGTATGTGATCTTTTATTTTTTAAAGCTTATGTTACTAACTGCAAGTTTCAGTACAATACCACAAGCATAATGCTATATATAAAAATTATTAAACTTTATTTACAGTTTAGAAATGGAAAGTTGTCAGGCAAAAAAAAATCCTACAGTTTACTAGACTTATCTATATTAAGTACATACAACTTTAAAACAAAAAAAATTAAGTTATGTGCAAGTTTGCAACATATTTGCTTATTCAATGAGAGAACATGTTGAAAACTTGTTTGCATTTCACAAGGACAAAGATTTGTTGGTAAAAGTGATACTCGTGCTCATCTGTCTTTTGACAGGTTTCAAATATTTTGCATCAGCTACAAGTTTACAACATGTACAACCAACAGGGGTGACTATGAACAGCAGGTTGAAAATGAACATCAGTATCAAGTTGCACAAAGGTGAAGAAACACACACAATAGAGCTATATAATGTATTACTTTGATTCAATTGCAAAACTGAGCCAGTAAAACATCTTCAAGAAAAAAAAAAGAATCTGGTGGTGAAGACACTAAAATGGTTTTTAACAAATTCATTTTCGATATTTTAATAACAACCAAAGCTTAGGCAAAAATCCATTTTTTGCCTAAGTTCAGTTGATCAGGCCGATAACTTTTCCAGGAAGCTGGACAGTATAATGTTCTGATAAAAAAAAAAGTAGTGATTAGGCTAAAAGTTTTCTTCAATGATGCAAAAATATTTAAAAAGTGTTCATAGTCATTCTAATTGACAATAACTTAGAAGGTTAAACTATATAACTAGTTTCCAACATTGTCTTACCTACTTTGAATAACTCAGTTGTCATAATAATTTTTATAGTGATTTTTTTTTAGTCAAAAATATTCTGAACATGTTTTTAATTTAATGCAATTAATTAACATCATTTATAGTTGATGGAGTCCCTTTTTGCACTATAGTTAAAATGTGCTAGTAGAATAGTAGTAAAACATTTGGCTCGCAACCAGAAGGTTGGGGTTTAAATTATCTCTGCTGAAATTACTGCGCTCAATCTATTTCTTCGAACAGTGCATTTGTGTAAAAATTTTAGTTGTTAATGTTGCTTGTGAGTAAAAATGGTAATGTTAAGGATTGAGACAAAATATTTTTTAAAAATGAGTTGCTCCCTTGACTGAAGTGGTCATTGGAGCAATAGGGAGGTGAGTTTATGAAATTAAAAAAAAAAAATTATTGTACTCATACAATTATAAAAATTTGGTATTTTGATCGCTTTTTAAAAAAACCCAAAAAACCCATAAAACCCAAAAAAACCCATTAAAACCCAAAAAAAACCATTTGGGTTGGGATTTTTTAAAAAACTCTGGGTTTTTTCCAACCCTGGTTAATACAGGTTAAACACTTTCCATTTGCATAAAAAAATTCTAACCATTTAATTAAATTGTTTCACAATCTATGTAAACCATTAAATTCATAATACAAATATAATTACATTAATCTTATATAAGATTTAAAATGTGATAAAATGAGTGAAGATGTTTTATATAGAATTACTATTATATTAAATTATATTTTATTATGATTATAACTTATTTTAAATGATATTTTTGTTTTTTATTATCATCTTTTTAATTTTTAATTTAAATTTATAAATTTAAAATAAAATATTAATTTTATATACAATACATATTTTATGCTATTGTATTACATATTTTGCAATATATATGATTACACTTACAACTTGATAAGTTCTTTTAGTTTATAGGTCAAAAAGTTGTTATACAGAAATTTGTTAACTGGCTTCTCAAGGGAGTATGAAGATTTAACAGGATCCCAAGGAACAGATACAACAAATGCTCCAGAAATGTTAGCTTTATGATCACCAATGGCAGCATAATTTGTAAAAATCAATCTAAAAAAATGACTTACGTTGTTACAATACTTTTCAACTTTGTCACTATGTAACGATTATATAGGAACCAGTTGACTGGTCGTTCCAAAGAATGAGTTGTCTTAGAACTATCCCAAGGTGAAGATAAAACAAGTGCACCTAAGACATTGTTTGGCGTTGTTCGAGATAAGTAGTTTGTTAAAAGCGCACTGAAGAACATAAAATATGTACAGCTAATGCAACTTTGTAAATATTTTTTATATAGACCAACAGCTTTTTTACTGCTATCGGTTTAAAATACAGTTAGTAAAAAATTAACTTACCCGCCAAGTGATACAGCAAACATGATCAATGGGCTATCTGGATATTGTTTAGAGATATGAGCAAGAACAAACTCCAAGTCCTCTGCATTACAAGCAGAGAATGTTCTTGGGGTCTAAAAAAAGCTGCCAATACTAGCACTGAGTGTTTTAAAACAAGACAATGTTACTTGAAACAATTTTTAAAAAAATTAAAATAATTCAAAAATAATAAAAATAAAAAAATTTATAATTAATATGTAATTATTAAAGTTATATAATATACCTTTAAAACTGTTTTTCCTAAACCTCGATTTATAAATACTAAAACCCTAAACATTATTATGTTATAAATTAGCTAAACTTTAATAATACTTAAAATATGACAATAACAATGAAGTACATAATGCCAATTATAATTAATTTTTGCTGTTGAAAAAAAAATTTTTTGGACATTTAATAATTTAAAAAGGAATACCTGCATCCAAGGCTTTCAGATTCTTTTGCTATATGCCGAACATAACTAGCATCGCTACAGCCTACAAAAAAAAAGTTCATTATCATCATCATTGTCATCATCATCATCATCATTGTCATCATCATCATCGTCACCGCAAACAAATATATACCTGTTATTCCAGGCATTACAACAACAGTAGGTCTTGTTTTTGGATCTGGAAAAAGTTTATTATCGTCATTATCAATCCAATCCAAACTAATATGACCATTGTCTGTTGTAATCAATGTTTCTCTGGAAAAAAATGTTTTTATCTATTTTCATATAAAATCAAAACAATGAACCAGTTTTATGTCAAAACATTTATTTTCAATAAAATTATCATTAAGTTTATTATTATTGAATATTAATATTAATAAATTTAATTGAATAATAATATTAATATACTAAATTTATTACTAAATTTCCACCCTTTCATTGAGACTATACTAATTTACAAAGCAAACGGATCATGGGGAGTTAGGTATGTCAAATGCATTAATTCTATCTGTTAGATATTCATGTAAAAACTTTTCATCAAAGAAAATGATCAACATACCCATTGAATAAACAAAGTAAACTACAATAAATTCTTCACAAAAGATATTCTTAAGTGAAATTCTAAATGTGAAAACTATTTTAATATTTAAATAATTCAATGTAAATAATTATTTGAATTTAAACAACTTAAAAATGATTAAAAGTACAAACAAAAGTACTATAACAATTTGAATTACAACATTCTAACAATATTTAAATAGCAACCCTCAGAATTTGGGTTGGCATTCAGCAATGCCAACCTAAACGTGTTTGCAGTCGGCAAAAAAAATTTAGTTTTGTCAACCTCGTTTCGATGTTTTATGGTAAGACCTTTGTATTTACCGACTTAATGCCGACCTCTAAAAGATTGACAATGGCAAATTATTGCCGACCTCAATTTTCCTAATTCCAAGGGTTAGGCATTTAGAAAATGATAACAATAAAGAAGTAAAAAATCTCATTTTTTTGAATAAAAGCAACATATTTTTAAATTCAATAACAATTTTTTAAAAAGCATAATCTATAAAATGAAAATGATCTTTTATAAAAAATATAATCAATTTTTATGCTGTATTTAAAAAGTAAAGATATGTTTAATGTAACAAATAAAATCTATTGTTAATAATGAAATTAGTAAAATACAATATTTAAGAATACATTATGTAAAATATAAAAGATAAGCACGTTTGTTACACAACATAGTTTCATTAGTTTAACTATCTGCATAAAATTCTTATAATATTCATCAAATTTTTGGTTGTGGTTTCTTAACTTTAAAAACTTTTTAAAACTAAAGACAGGACCCTATACCCATTAAATTTATATTAAATTAGATGTAATTTTTAGCAGATGACCTAAGATTTTACAGATGTCTACTAAAACAGAATAGTTGTGACAAGCTAGATAAATTTATATCTATTACATAATATATTAGATATTAGGTTGTTTTAATACTGTTTTTGCCTGACTATTAAATTGTTACGTAACTTTCAGACTTGGTAAGGAAGGCATAGTATCTCTCACCATTATACGACCATGCAAATAATATTTTATTTTGACAACGTGACTAGAGCTTTTAACATGTTTTCAAAATTTAAAGTTGCACAAAAAACTTACCCAGACATGACTAAAAAAAACTTTTAAAAAGTTTGTTTTAAAAAAGAAAAGAAATCTTGAAAAAAGAGGAATTAAAAGAACTAAAACTAAAACGCAAAAAATAAAAATACAACTCCACTAAAATAAAAGTTTATTTAAATCATGTTTTCAATTATGTTTGGAATAATTAACTTATAATCTTTTATCTTTACTAATGTATATATAATATTATGGGAAATAAAATAAAGGAACAATTTACTTTTAATGATTTTTCATTTTTTAAAGATTAAGATTTCTCATAAAAATATACATATTATATAAATTTAAAAAAAACTATAATATAACATTGATACTTATATACAAGCATTATAATAATATAAAAACATTAAAAATATTTATCATTTTTTTTATAACAATTTTTTAAATCTTTTTAAGAATTAACTTAAATGATTCTTATATAAAGTTCTTTCAAGAGAATTTTGTTGTCTGTGATAGTCCCTTTTATTTTTATTAAGTTTTTATATTAGTATTTCGCTAACATAGACTTAATAAAGATGAATGTTTCGATGTTATTTAAAAGGTATATTTCAATACCTTTTGATTCAGCACGTTTTTGAAATGTTTTTTGAAATAGCCATGGTCAAACCATCAAAACAAAATATTGTTTGTGTGGTCATATGATGGCGCGTGATAAATTTCAAATTTTTTTCTAATTATTTGCAATTATTAACCAATAAAAAAAAAAATATATATATATATATATATATATATATATATATATATATATATACATATATATATATATATATATATATATTATATTAGTTTTTAAAGTTATGAAAATAGTTTTATAATAAAAATAACTTTAACAAATTTTTAATGCTTTGGTACCTGTTGGAAGAACCACTATTTATTAGTGGTTTGGATATTAGTACCTGTTTTAATTTTTTTATTTTTTTTTTATTTATTTAGAAAATCTTAAATAAAAATTTAATGAATGTTATTAGAATTTTTAGTGGATACTTATTTATAAGCAATTGTGTTAAGATATAAACATTTCAATTTTAAAGAAATTCTAAGTATTTCATTTTTTTAATTTTTTATAAGAAAAATTACATGGTATTATAATAATATAAAAACATACAAGTAAGTCCGAGTAAATTGATTTTGAAACAACAGCAAAAAACTGTTCATAGTTGCGCATCAACAGAAATTTTCTGTGTCTATTTTTAGGAAATAAAAACTTTCAATTAGTCTAATATTTAAATAGATGATAGATTTTAGTTTCAAGAATGTGGAAATGGAGCTGAAAAAATTTTTTTAATTTTGTGACTTGGTGCTTTGCAGATGGGTTCCTTATATAATATGTATTTATATATAAAATATCATCTCTATAAAAATATCAATAATAAATGTGATTTTTTAAAACTAGTTTTTTATTATGATTTTTTTTTAATTTTTAAAATTTTTATTGAAAAAGTTATAGGCAGAAAAATATGAAAATTTTAATTAAATATTAAGTTTATATAATTTTATTACAAAATAATAAAAAATAAAATATACTAAAAAATTATTTGATTTAAAAATATAATTTATTACTTGCAGTTTTTATCTTTTAAAAAAAGATTCCTATATATATTATACATGACCGTTTCATATACCTGCAAACTCAACTGTACATGTTACATAAGTGAGTTTTTTGCGTCTGAATATAACATATTTGTTTATTGCATTATGCAATACTGATGCACTTCTTTAGAAGAACCTGATTGAAAAGTGTTACATAATTCCAATCGGTATAAAAGAATTAAAATTATTTGTTTTTCATTCACCTTTATATCTTTGATAGCTCAGTGGTTAAGTGTGTTGTCCTCAATGTTAACCTTCAAAAACATTTCTGTGGATTCAAATAAACCCTTATTGCTGCTATTACAAGTACAATCCATAATAGTTTAAGCAAAAAAGATTTATAAATGTTAAACAAAAAACATACTGTTATATATATATCAATCATGTATACATATTTTACACAATTGTTCCATATATACACTTTTACTTATGCTTACTGATGATATATTCGAATTCTTTGATAACATACACTTTCAGTACTAATGCTTCTTGATCTAAGTGCTGCCTTTTACAATATTGATAAGCAAAAACTACTTGTGCTACTAACTTGTGAATTAGGTTTTTTATTTTGTAAAAAAAAAAAAATTAAGTCATAAACTTCATCCTACTATTTTTTAACTTATATCTTGAGATTATACTTTCACATTGATATCTTGAGATTTTACTTTCACATTGATATCTTGAGATTATACTATCACATTGATAACATAATATCAAATTGATATTTGTAGAAAAATTATTACAAAAAACTCCAATTATAATTACACTTCTAAATAAAAATTAAAAATCTATTAAATCAGCTCAGAAGTGGTTTAAAACACTTTTAGGTAAACAGAACTATAAAGTTAAAATTGGTAACTGATATTCCATGAACCAAAATGTAAAATATGCAGCATTACAAGGTATAGTCCTGGGTCCAAAACTCTTTAAGAACTATATGAGACCACTATACAAATATCTAAACACAGGTTTGGACAGGAATGGCATGCAATCGCACTCTATAACTAGCCATGCTAAGTTTTTTTTTTCTTTTTAACTTGACCACGGCTTTTTTGGTGTTTAATCAATTTAAATGCATTAAAAAAAGTGTTATGTTATGATTAAAATTTAATTGTTGATCTTTTATTTTACACGAAGGCTTTAAACAAAACCATAAAATTAATTATAATGATTGTTTACATAAACGCATGTGTAAGCTAATAAAAAATGTTATATAAAAATTTTTTTTATGTGGGCATGTATTTTTAATGATAAATTTAAATGCTTGAAACTATTTTTCCATATCTTCCTAAAAATCTTTTAAACCATTATTTTTAGAAAGAATTTTTTTTAAGTTACTTTAAATTATTTTCAAAACCTTTTGTGACTACTAGCTTTTACACATTTTATGTGAATTATACAAGAATAGAAAATAACTATTTACTTATATAACCATGTATTTTGTTGAAAAATTTTGTTGAAAAGTTTTGAGACATTTTATAATGTTCATACGATCAATTTTTATAATTAAACTTATAATTTTTTTAAATCTTTTAAACATATTTTTTCAAATAAAATTTTTATTTTTATTTTTTTATTATTTTGTTAGGAATGAGTTAAAATGAATGAGTTAAAATCATTAGAATGAGTTAAAATGAGTTAGAATGAGTTAGAATGAGTTAAAATCATTTATAAAAATTTTTAAATTCGTTACGTGAAGCACTTATTAATAAAGTTATAATGCTCAAATTAAAATTAAATTAAATTGCAGTTTATTTTATTTAAATTGCAGGCGCATTTTTTTAAATTTTTTTCTTCCTATTTTTATGAATAAAAAAGTTAAAAACCTTTTTTTAACTCAACTTACTAATTAGAACATGAAATTATGAAAACTTTTTTGAAAAAAATAAATGTTTATACAATTTAAAAATTATATACAACATTTTTTAATGAATTTGATAAAATTTGATCATTTATTAAACAATCATTAGTAGTAATTTGTTACTTAACTT